TTAGATTTTCAGTACAAATCGGCAATTTCATACTTTAACCCCTATTATTTCCAGAGTACTGGTTTTTTTTACAAAATTTTACCATATACCACCAAAGATGAACAATTGTAAACATGAAAATAATTTGGTCCTTTTTTGGTATACAACAATTTGTGCAGCCATTTAGTTGGAACAATGGCACATTTTGAGGTAGTTCATTTTAATCATACTATTCAGTTTTCGATTTGCCGAAAACTGAATAGTATGATGTTATAACCGGCTACACACATTACAAACAAATTTAGTAACATTTTACATTTTTTTTTAAATGATTGATGTAAACAGATGCACGTTTGAGACATTGTATGGATTTAGGATGCAAAAGTATCCAAATCAAACGATTATATGTGAATGTGCGACAGGTTTAGGTTAGTCATGTGATATGGGCTGACTGTTGTCCCTAGTTGGTCAGTAAACATAAAGGCAGGAGATCTCAATGTGAAAACCTTGTATATCTCAAAATTTTGGTTATCAAGGCAGTGGTTATTAAAATAGTGTTTCTCTACATTTCTGTTCTTATTTTTAGTAGAGGAAGATGATGGAGAGGTGTTCAAGGTGAAGAAGTCTAAGCAGAGCAGCCGACTCGCTAAGCGGCGCGAGAAGGAACGCCGGCGGCCTGACGGTGATAATAACAAATATGACCATACCCTTTATGAGGTATACAACACTATCCTATATTATAATAAGTAAAACAGATCAATTTCAAAGCCTTAATGCAGATCACTATTTATACTTGACAAACATTTACACTGCATTAAACATAATTTGTGTAAATTATGTTTAATGCCGTGAAGTAAAATGAGTTAAAGATAGATAGCCTATAAGATTGCCACACTTATTCTTTGTAGCAGCTCACATGTTTCACCACAGACTTCAACAGTGAAAACTTGCCATTGAGGAGTTAACCACTGACTTGCAAGGACCTGAGGTTTTTTCTGCAAACAACACACAACTTTGTAACTATAGTAATATTATTTTCTTGCTGCAGACTTGGCTATAAATTATCGAAACGGAACAGCGGTATTGCGCTCTCTCTATCGTTTACCAGTAGGGGACGGGTCTATTGTGTAAGCGCAAGGCTGTGCATTACTGCAGTTAAAAAACGCTATCATCTAATTTATTTTTTAACATATTCCAAATGAAATATACAAAACAATGTTGAAAACCTGAAACTAGTAAGATCAAGAAGGCGTGCGATATTTAAACGATAGCAGATAATAAATTATTTATAGGGTTCTGCACCAACCTCGCGCACATAGTGACTCGTTTGTTTTTAACGATAACGGGCTTGCGCACGTGGAATGTTAGCTCAACACTAAGTGGGAGAGAGAGCACAATATCGCAGTCCCACTGTTTGTTTTTGACCGAGACTACATCGAGTAAATAATCTTACAATAGCATATGAGATTGATACTACTTTTATTATTATTACCTTTATAGAAAATACATCTTTATTGATGTGATGAAGAGTAACAAACATAAATTAAATAAAGGGGAAAAAGATGGGCTCTTTCCTTGACAAAGTTGAATCTCACATTCATGTCTTATATTGCTGTTTACGTTTCCAACTTATTTAGATAGCTTAATCAGTGTATATATAAGAATGGTAAGTTTACATCGTTCTGTTTCTGCATTCGAAGAATCATTGCAGATTTTTGAGTTCCCTTCAGTTTCACTACTATATTAAGTTATATCTTTTTTCGCAATATTAAATATTAAACATTTCGGTAAATATTGATTTTAACGAAAAATTTCGTGACATATTTTTATTGTTATTGTATATAATTAGGCAAGCAATTACAGTACAGAGCTCCTGTATCTACCTAAAAAATAAAAACTGCAATGAAAGATTTCTTTGTACGATACATCAATTCTGTATGAACAAGTTTTCGATACAACAAATATTTCATGAAGATGATGATGATGGTGATGATGATGATGATTGTGTTCATTATTGCCAATAAAATCCTCCGATGACATTATTGGACCAGAACTATTAATGTACTAGAACTAGTAATGAAGTTTAGAATTAAAAGTATAAAAATTAATGACACAGGAAAATGAGAAAATGGACGTAACGGAGAACAACCACGAGAAGCCGAAAAAGAAAAAAGTGTCTCTAGAAGGGCTGATCCTGTCTGGACGAGAGGCATTAGCAGCGGATGGGGCGGGGGACATTTCTGATGAAGAGCAGAGCGGGGACGAAGAAGACAATAGGGGGTTCCACCAGTACCGCGCGGAATCGGTTCGGGCCGCGCTGGCGCCCGGCGTGATCCCCGATGCGGCGCTCATCCACGCCGCTCGCAAGTCCCGACAGCAGGTATGAGAGGTGAGGGACTCTGCCAGGCCGTCACCGGAACTACGTTATTTACGCCGACACCTCTATTGCCATCAGGGAACGAGAAGAATTTCACAAGGAGCTGCAAGAGTAGACATTGTGATTACTCCGTAATCATTTGGTTTGTCCCTGATGCCACTTATGTGTTTACACGTTTGGAGACTTAAACCTGTTTTGGTGCATAAGTTAATTTTGCTAAGTCTACTTTTGAATTATAGCAGACGTAATGTCTCTCTGTTAGACCGAAGATCTTCAGTATTATTATTTAATGTGATTTCAAACACCTATCTTAACTATTCTCTTTATGCACTAGTATCAAAAAATGTTGATTCGACTACGCGTAAACCTTTTTTTTCCTAAATCCGGATCATCAATATGTATAACGTAATTACAGGCTCGCGAATTAGGCGACTTCGTGCCGATAAAGCCAACTGAAGTGCCGGGGTCGCGGTTGGTGCGCGATGACGGCTCCGGGGACGAAGACGAGGGCCGGATTGAGGTCCGCGGCTTGGAATTACCCAGTGACAAGCCTAAGCGTGAGTTGAACATATTTCTTTATTTTTTAAACTAATGTGTTAATCAACTTTTTTTATATAGTGCACAACTTATTGCAATACACAATTTCATTTTCAGTTTTCACAAATACAAAATTTATGAAAACCGTACATGTCGCAAGGCGTATTAAAGCGGTTCAGAATGTGCGTTTAGAAGCTGTGTGTAACAAAGAAATAAATTAATTTGATATTTTGATTATTATTATCAGGTGGCACTGCTGTGGCGCCGACTAACGAAGAACTAGACAGTGAACCGGACGAGTGGGAGGAGCAACAGGTTAAAAAGGCAATGACTGCGTTACCCGATATTACAGGTTCGTTAGTAAAATATTTCCACCTGGAATACCTGTTCCTATGTCATTGTTTATGTTTTAAACATAGTGTACGAAGAGAAAACGGGCTATTAAATGGACCGATAAAATAAAGAACCTATTTCTGGTATCCTTATTTTTTTTTTATAACATCAAGTGACGGAACGAACAAGTCGTGCGCCTGATGGTACGTTACACACCTGTCCATAACAGTTGCAGTGTCACTCTGAGCTTTAAATCTCAAAGATCTGAGGGGCACTGCCACTGCACCTGTTACTCTGAGACAGAAGTTGACAATCGTCTCATGTGCCTGTAATTTCAACAGCACCCTTACCTTTCAAAACCGGAACATAGCAATACTGGCATTACTGCTTGGCGGCAGTAATAGGTAAGGTGGCAGTTTTACCCTGGAAGAACTCTTTCACAAGGAGCTCTCCTGCTACTAAAAAATGTTTGGTTAAATAGTTGTTTATTTAATAATATTTATTTTATATTTGTCATGAGATAATTAAACAAAACAAATGTTTTTCTTTTATTTTTGTGAAGTCAACGATCGCGATGGATTGTATTGTCGCAAAGTGGTTGTTATGAAGAGTTGGCTCACTTCCAGGCGACGGCGATATTAACCCGTTCAGCGTAGCCCCGCCTCCGCCGCGATTGCACGATGCGCCCGCGCATCTTCGCCCGTTGGCGCTGGAAACGCACCAGCCGCCCACCTCCGCGCCAGAACTGGTAGACGCACTAAAGAAACGGTTCGACTAATACATGATTTTTCTTTTGTGATTTACGCCTTTTGACACGAATTTGAACCAGATCTTAATTTGCTTTCGACGTTTTCAGTTATTTTTTATAAACATTATTTTTAAGCAATTGTATAAAAAGTATCCTATATTTTGTATTATTAAAGAAGAAGTGAAGCGAGTGGAACTCTTCCATAACTAAACGTTTACTTTTGCTACTTTTATAGTTTAATGACATACGGCATATTATTTTGGGGTAATGCCGCCAATATTAACAGAATCTTTGTCCTGCAGAAACGTGCGGTCAGGGCAATTTACAATCTGGGCCCCAGAGTGTCTTTGAGAGATAAGTTTCTTACACTAACGTCATAGTACCTATATTTATGAAAATATTATTTATGTTAAAAAATATATTAACTTTTTTATGAAGAATAGTGACAGATATAACATTAATACGAGGATTAAAAATAAACTAGCTGTTCTGGACAGTCGTATTCGCAAAGTCTCAAATTCTTTTAAGGGGCAATGTATGCGCTTCTACAATGAGATTCCGATTGATATTCAAAATTTGCCATTTACGAGGTGTAAAACTATCTAGAATTTCTTGCTCATTCTTCTAAAAGGAATCTGTCTTACGAATGAGTAGAAGAATTAAAAAAAAATCAATGTGACGATTTCAAGTGTAATTTGCTTACATATCAAATAAAGATTATTTGACTTTGAAACGAAACGAAAGTACTTTTAATATTGTAGAGGGGAAGTTTTGCTTCATGGCGACATTTTTTTATATTTTTAAAGTAAGAATACTGAATTCAAAGATTTAAAGTTGCCTGCCTCATGGAATCGAGGCAATCAAATGTGAAAAAAAGGTCACTAAAAACCAAAATGTTAATCGTGATTTTGCTAAATGGGTTCCACTCTCATGGTTAGAAACATGACTGCTAGAAGCCTAAGAAACCCCAACAAAGTAGTACTAGGCACAATTCCTAAGTCTAAACACTTCCAAAACAACTGTTACGCAATGTGTGGAAAGATTTTTAATAAGCTGCCGTATCATATTAAATCACTTCCTTTGATCAGTTTTAAAAAAGAACTGCGCAAATGGCTCTTAGAAAAATCATTTTATTCTGTGGTCGATTTTTTTTTCAAATATAAAAACTGATCCGTATCTATGTTAATCTTGGTTTAGCATATCTAATTTATTAATGAATTTATATTATACTGTATTTTATTATTATGTTTGCATGCTTTCGCCAAAGCTAAATAGGATTAAGTTCGTTATAATTATTAATACAAAGATCGAACACTTAGAAAAAATTTCTTCGATCCGACCGGATTCGAAACGGCGTCTTCTAGCAAACCGAGCCAGACGTTATGCCAACAAATATTTCTATGTGCTTGTTTGTCGGATTTTCGTACCTGGTTGTTAACGACTTTTTAGCCGTAGCACCATTTATGAGAAATCTATAAGAAAGTATTTCGTCACCCAGTTAGGCACCTTTATAGCTACCAGCCCTGGCTAGAGATGTCGCTATTGACTGTAATTAAGTGTAAGGATTAAATTCATCAATTTGATTTGAACACCAACATTTGTAATGTACCTACCTTATTTATAGCGAATAAATCAGATATGATTTGGACCTCCGGGGTTCGGTATAGACCACTTTGGGAATCATCCGTTATACACGATGCAGGTTGGCCGAGCTGCAAACCGAGCGCGATTCGACGTTGGCCCGCTTCGACGCCTGCAAAGAGCGTCTGCTGCATGCGTCGCGCGTGCGCGAGTCACGTTCGGCGCGCTGCGGCGCACTGGACGCCGCCTACAGACGCGCGCAGGCCGTGCGGGGCTATATCACCGACCTTGTGGAGTGTCTAGACGAAAAGGTTAGGTTCTACGGGCACGTCAATACCATAGTCATAGTCATATAATTTCACACGCACAACCAAATAGTATCGTATTTCAAAATTGTAAAATTGAGAGGACACTAATTGTAAATTTAAAAAAATACTGAATGAAACCACTATATTTAAAAAAAAAGATAATTAAGTATTATGTGTAAATAAAAATAATCACATTATTCGCAATAAGATCCATTAATAGGAAATGAAACTATTTTTGTTGACAGTCAACCGTGACCATGGGACCTGTAAAGGGCCCGAAACGTCGTCGGTTTGTTTCAAAAAACAAATATACGCGATTTAAATCCGGAAAAATAGTTTCATTTCTTATACAATGATACACAAACCCTCCTCTTTTTGAAGTTAGTTAAAAAGTTTCATTTCCTATGTGTAACAATCGCGAAAACCTAAGAACTCGATAAGATCCATTAAGTTTTTTTTTAATTCTCAAATTGGCTTTTGTCAACTATACAATTTTCAGTAGTGAGAGATTTCATGTGGGATTTATTGTATTTCTTTTTATAATAATAAGTGACGGGACGAACAAGTCGTGTATCTGGTGGTAAGAGACTCGCCTGTCCCTAACAGTTGCAGTGCCACTCAGAGCTTTAAAACACACAGATCTGAGGGGCACTGCCACTGCACCCGACACCCTGAGACATAAGTTGACAAGTCCCATGCGCCTGTAATTTCACCAGCCTGTAATTTTTGACCTCACAATAATAATAGCGTGGTTTGTTGTCAACTATACGGTGTGGTTTTTACCAGCTCCCGCAGCTGGAAGCGCTGGAGGCCCGTGCGTTGGCGCTAGCGCGGCGCCGCTGCGAGTTCCTCACCGAACGACGTCGGGCCGATCTGCGCGACCAGGCGCAAGACGTCCTTGCCCTCGCTGGTACGTACTTCAGCGTAGTAACTGACTTAAATAGTATTTATCTACACACAAATCATATACCCTCTATGATGTGTTCAAAAACCGCAAATTACGACGATAGTTTATCTTTATGTTGATAAAGATAAACTATTTTGTTAGAACAAATTTCTTATCTGTGAAAATGTTATTATTGTTACATCGGATTCGATTTTATTATTACATTCAAATTTCGAACATCTCTGAGAAACAAAATAATTTGTTTCGACTTCAATTCTAATACCAGTCATGATGAAGTTTTATTCGAAATGAAATGTCAATAGAAAACAATTTTGACAAATTTCACACGTTACTTGATATTTTAGACTATGGAAACTAGAGGACATGTTATATTGACATACACAAATCAGACGTTATATGTATATAATGCATTTTGACGTTGAAAACATAAACATGTTATTATCTTTGTTTAACTATTGCGTGCCGTCTTAAACCAAAAGAGATAGCATTACATTGGTCTATGTCAAACACGGGAATCAAAAATACGTAACGTCATCATAAATGCCAACTGTGTCCATTTCGCAGTACATGAGATACATGATACGGTTGTCAAAGGGAAGTACATCAAATGTCAAAACAAATGTTTTCCAGGTGTTTTATTGAATTATTCGCATGTATTGTAATAAAATGGACACAAACATTGACAATAACAACAATTAAATATTAATAAAAATTCGTCGCTGCGTTACGGAATGTGGCATTAGAAAAAGCGAAAATCGACCGAATATAACATTGTACAGGCACGTGTTATTGCTCTGTGTATAAATCACACAAAAGCCCAAATATCTCGTGTAATTAGACATATTTCAGTAGTTTATTCATAAATCTTGCCAAATTTTGCTTTGGTTTCTTCCGATTGCCTGTTTGTTTGTATATTTTGATGATTGTTGTTAACGATTATTTTGATGGTGTTGTTCTTGGAAGCGTACATATTATCGATATTCTGTTATTAAAATAATTCACTACGAGATTTTTATTATTATTATTTTTACTATTTCAAGTTTACCTACAAATAAAAAATGAATCAAAGACCACCTTTACATATTAGCTTCATTTTGAAGAGTCAAGTTTTAACATAACTTTGAACATAATTAGACTGACAACTCTAACTATTAAAAAATCTTATTTATAAAACCAGCAATACAATGACCATGTTGGTCCAACATTGCCGGGTATATAACCAATACCAGTGTATAGACAGCCTATTTCCCTTGGCCTTGCCTTGCCATCGTTCGGTGTTTCTCACCTAGCTGACCGAGAAGGCGAGCGCTAACGTGTCTAGAGCTCGTTTGACGTGGCTTGTCACAACTCGCAATCGCTCGTGACTATTTGTAGAAGTGTCGATTTTTCTGCACAAATCAAAGGCGCTCGGTCAATAGTAGTCAATTGACATTGTATAATTAGACATTTGCATGCTATTTAATATATGCGAAACATGTTTATACTAACACTGTCTCTTGTTACATCTCTTGTTGTACCATATTTTAAACAAATAAACGTATGATAATAATATTATTATTGATAATATTACTACTTTCATTTATTTCCAAAATTAAATGGAAGTATTAAAGATTTACTTAATTCAGTCACTGATATTAATTCTATACCAATACATAAATACATAAAAGCTTACACGATTTGGAAACTGTTTAAAAAATTCGCTATGAACATATGAATCTTGACCTTACTTGAACTTATGATTTCTAACCAGAAATATATAGGACCTCTCCAGATTTATATTTCAAAGTTTTATCTTTTTTTATATACTCTCAAATTACATTTTTCTGTGCAAATTCAGTTTTCGTAATGTTTGAGTATTTGTAAACGCAAAACAATAATTTCAAAATTTCATGTGACATTCCCGGATATTCCCATAAAACCTAAAATATTTCCAAATGGAATATTGATCTACTTTAATGAAATGGTTGCATGTCGGTAATGACTTATCGATAGATTATGGTACGACACTAAAGAAGTCCGCCATTTGTTCGTTCAATTTTTGTTTAGAACTACAAATAAATGAACGTGCCATTCCGTAGTTAGGGCAGCTCCTTTCTTTATTTTTTTTCCCATCCTCTAAGCTTGATATCGAACGATATGTTAGTTTGGGGCCGACTCTAGTTTGTCTATGAGTTGAATAAAAACTACGGTTGTATGACATGCGGTTCCTGAACACATCCTAGAGGGTTTATGATATTATGTGTGTAGATAAATACTATTTAAGTCGGTTACCAAGCCCAACAAACCCACACTCGTATTTAATGATTTTCAAAATGTAACAGTCACATAAACTACTATTATTAATTTATTAATTTACTGCATTGTAACACTTATGTACAGTGGCTTGAAATGTACATATGACACCCTGTATGGGCACAGCAAAGTGATGATGGCATTTACTTATTATAAAAGTAATAAAATAAAGTTGAGATCATGCTAAATAAATCATTACAATTGTACATGCATAAGATAAATTGAGAAGGATATTGGAGGTATCTCAAATAAATTACATTATAAATTATATTTTGTCATTGAAAAATTCTTTAATATTATAATAACTTTTATTCTTTTATTTTATCTGCCTCCGTGGCCGCACGGTTACCATGCCGGACTGCCACGCAGAGGTCCCAGGTTCGATTCCCGGGCCGGGAGAAATGTTTGTATGGCTTACATTTATTTCTCTCGTGAGTTTGGGTGTAATTTGTGGTTGTCTATGTGTGTGTCCATGGCACCCGCGACACAGGGTTTCCCTAGTGCGGGGCTATGTTGAGTGTGTGCGTTATTTATTTATTTATAAGGAATAATTTTAAATGTTTGGAGAAAATTTTAAATTCTTGGATTTTTTTTAAGTAATAATAATAGTGACGTAGATGTTTTTTTTCACTTTGACTGCTGTTCCTCATATTTACTTACGTGCATTTTATGCTACTTAGACTTGTGTGACAATAACACATGTTACCTCAAGGTAGTGTGAAAAAAACGCACACGTATTTGTACTCAATGTAATATCTTACTCGAAGCTTAACTATACAGTAGACATTTATAAATAACAATTATTAAGAAAGGGTATAAACAGTAACAACCATTACTTGTTAATCGGTTATTTAGTTTATTACAAAAAAAAACGCTTGCTTGGCAGGAAGTCACACATTGGATATGAAACCAACAAACCAACGTTTCGGGTCTTTAACAGGTCCCATGGTCACGGTTGACTGAGATCGTAGTCATAAGCCAGTTGTCCAATATATGTGTAATGCAAACGATCCTATTTTTCATTATATTCATAGAAGTTATTAACGTTGGTAAAAAAAATACAAGTATACCCGATGTAAGTCCAAAAAATTGTTTCATTTCCAAAGATATTTTGGTTAACGAATGAATATACGGCGTTAGCGCGACCCGGCGCGGCGAAGCCTGTGGACACGGAGGACAAGATTCGACGTGCGGCCGAGCGAGAGGGGCGACGGCGCGCGCGGCGGCTGGCCAGAGAGGCCGCGGCAGCTGCGGCGGGGGCGGCGCCCAGGCATCGCGACGGAGACTCCAGTGACGACGACCTGCCGCCGGCGGAGCACCAGCACGTGGCACTCGAAAAAGGTTTGCGGAGCTGCCCTGCACTAACCAAAGTTTATATTGAGACTATCAGTGTAAAAGTGGTGTGAAGATAAATTTAAATAAAAGAGGGATATAAAATTTACCAAATTCATAGTATTCCGAGAACGGTTACCGGACACCCACGTTGCGTCACACGTCGCAGTCCATATTTGTAAATAAATAGTGTTTTATTATATTATTATGTATGTTAGTCTATGGCGTATGTATTTATGGATCTTTGTAATCTGAATATAAAAAAATAAAGTAATATAAAAATAAATTTAATTATACATGGTAATCATATACGATCAATTATAATTATTATTTTTTTATGAAAACAGCATCCAAATATAACAATTATGTACTTTAGCATTATTTGAAGTCATATTGTAAAAAGTGAAATTGATTATGCTTTGCATCCCTTTTGTGCTGATAGCCTCAATTAGTTTTATTTTTATTAAATACCAAGATGTGTTTTTACCGCCATGACATTGTATTTTTTGTGAAAGTACTCCACTAGTTAGTTATTACGAGTATTATTCATGCTAAGATCGATGTGATATTTTTAAGGTAACAATTGTTCCACGTGGAACTGAGTACATAGAACTACTGGGAATAAAGGGAACAAATACAATTGGACTCGAACCAGTGTGGCTACGAGGCGACTGACACTGGTTGGAGTCCTGTCGGGTTGAAGGAACTTTTCTTTGTGTATTCGATCATTTTCAAGAGTTAAAACCACAAGTGAAGTTACAGATAACGCGCAGATACGGTTGTTTTATGACTTATTCATTATATAAAACCTATAGTCCATTTCACATAGGATGAGTCCTATGACACTTCCAATTTTTACGTTGCACGCGTACTATTTATAACTAATTTTACAACCAGGTTACAAAAAGAAATAGTAAATGTCATAATGTACCAAAAACAAACAATATTTGTTGCAGTTGTAATTTTGAATAAAAATTAGAGTATATAAAGTAGGAAGAAAATTAAATGATAAAGATAAATATATATTACCCCGATTACTTGATGCGTAAAACGGAATATTTTATCCATAGAGATTTACACCATAAAATCTATAAATCGAATTGTTTATTTTGTATCTCGCGTCAATACGAGTACATACATCTTGTATGCGGGTCGTTTTCTTTTGGTTTTGAGCTTTGCGTGATGTTTTTTTCATTTCGTTGCAGTGGATTTTATGCTTTGTTGTGTCCTTTTATTTGGTTGTTCTTGATTTTTTTATTTATTGTGTAGTTTTCTTGATAAGTTAATGACATAATAATGGAATCCTTTCTACTACGTATGTTATTTGTTCTAAATTATTTCATGTAAATCGATTCTCCCTTCGTTACAAATTATCTCGATAAGATATTTAATAAATCGTTTTTTTTTTCATTCGATTTTACATCACTACATCTTTTGAAACTTCAAATCTCAAACGTCACTGGAATCATGCTACCTGAAATGAACTATAGTAACTATATAAAATGAAATTACCTGCTACTCAGCAATCTTATTCAAGGTTCGTTCATAATAGGCTGCGCTTGTGTTGAATTTCATGCAGTTAATTACCCACACTCCCTTGACAAAGCGCAGGTATTTTGGACGATTTAATCTTCACTTGGTCCGCGAAGTAGTAAAGTAATTTACTTTTTTTTTATAATATCTAGTGACGGGACGAATAAGTTGTGCGCCTGATAGTAAGCTACACGCCTGTACATAACAGTTGCAGTGCCACTCAGAACTTTAAATCGCAAAGATCTGAAGGGCACTGCTACTGCGCCCGTCACCCGGATACATAAGTTGACAAGTCCCATGTGCCTGTAATTTCACCATTTACTTCCATTTTTATTATTATTATCGACTTCAGCTAATTATTATTTTAAATAGTTCGTTATTATTACTGTAATCTTGTACTGCCAATTGCTTCCATGGCCGAACGGTTGCCATGCTGGTCTACCATGCAGAAGTACCGGGTTCGATTCCCGGATCGGTAGAAATATTTCAATGGTCTACATTTATTTCTCTCATGAGTTTTTAGTGTAATTTGTAGTTGTCTATGCGTGTGTCCAAACCACCCGCGATACAGGGTTTACCTAGTGCGGGGCTACGAGTGTGTGCGTTTTTTTTTAGAAAAATGTAGCTCTGAAACTAGTTATTCAATTGCAGAAGCGATCCGACAAATGTCAGCTTCTCTGTTCGCGGACGCCCTACCGGCTTGGCGCGACCTAACGGGCGTGTGCGCAAAGCTCGCCCGTTGGCGCAGACGCGAGCCCACACTTTACACCGACGCGTACGTCGCCGACTGCCTGCCCAAACTGCTGGCACCTTATGTTAGACATCAGGTAATAAATAGTACATTGTGAATTAAGGGCGGTAAAAAAGAAATTACTAACGAGAGATAGTTAGAAGTTTAAAGACCCGAGGTTTGAAATTTTCACCGCTCGTGGTACGCACATTTGCGAGGAAATAGATACAACGATAATTTATTTCTTGTATGAATAAATATTGCTTCACAACACACATTATATTGCAAATGGCGGTTTTTTTGTTGTTTTTTTAACAGATTGTCAGCTATTCTTTTATTAGTTAATATAACTCGAACTAAAATATTATAAAAGGCAGAAGCGTATGCAGCCACAATGTATTAGATATAAAATAAATAATTTCCAAATTCTAAAAATACTGCAGATTTTGAATTCAC